TCTGTACTCACCCTTCCTCACAGCTCTGTCACCTCGCCTTATCTTCAAGCTCGCTCTGTCAAAACGTCTCCGGGGCGTAGGTGGGGGAGAGAAAGGCGAAAGAAAATTTATTTTGCTCCTCTCTCTCGGCTTGGGTTTGCACTGCGTCCACTCCTGCTAGCGATACGATCTGACAGCAAAAGTTCAGGTAGATGTCAAACTATTTACCGACAGTTGGACCGTCGTATCCGATGCGGTCTATCGAATGCCTCATGGTAGCGTGTACACGCACTTGATACACTGCATTTCTTTCGTTGATTGATTTTTTTTCATTTCTTTACTTGACCCAATTTTCAAAAATTCGCGGCCTCGATGGGAGTCGAACCCACATACAGCAGGGAAGATTTTTGCTCAGCCGGCGTTCTACCATTTGAGCTACGAGGCTCACCGTGCACTCTCCGGTCAATTTTATCCGCCCAGTCTAATCCACCATTACGGATACAAACAGCTGACTGCCCAAGCAGGATTTCCTAAGCAATTCTCTAGAATTCCCCAGAATGACTACTAGGTTCACTTAATCATTGGGGGGTTTGGCAGATTTGCTTAATTCAGTTGACCCAATTGTGAAACATTCGCCGCCTCACTGGGGGCCGAATCCACACAGTAGGGAAGGCTTTTGCGCAACCAACGCTTTACCAATGAGCTACGCAGCTTACCGTGATGCGTGAATTTAGTCAAACTTGGATCGATTTACCTGTCCAACCTACTGCTCGTACGGAATCCACCCCTACGGAACAGCAAGCTGACTACACAGCTAGGGCTTCCTAAGCATGCATCTAGCATCCAACAGAATGACTACTAGGCTCACTTGCCTGATTTAGTTGATCCAATTTTGAAAGATTCGCCGCCTCCATGGGAGTCGAATCTGCACAGCAGGGAAGACTTTTGCGCAGCCAACGCTCTATCATTAAGCTGCGAGGCTCATCGTGAGCCGTGAATTTAATCACACTTGTTCTTTTTATTTTTAAATAAATAAGGTTTTTATTTAATACGATAGGACGGAGGCAGCTGGTGATGTTTCATTTCAGATTGCCAATATACACAGAGCGTTAATGGTTGGTCGTGTAATAGTGGACCAGGGTTGTGTCACAGCTTGTCAACATTCTCAACAAGGTTTTCGTCGAGAACCGTCAGTTAAGACAACGGTTTACTACATCACAACCGATACGCGGTATTTCGTAGACAACTTGTTTTCTGTTGAAATGGCCAACCTTCTCTGTAGGGTTTTCAAGCTGGGGGCGCAAAGTGGTTGGTGGTTTTTGCGCAGTCTGTACTTGGTGTTCTCTTAGCTGTCTTTCGACGAGCTAAGATATATTCTTTACATATGGGAACGTTCGCCAGTGAAATCAACCTGCCCAATATGTGGAAAGACAGGAGTGTGAATTCTGTTCCTACAGGCGGAGGTTCACATCTGGACCGGATGTATCTCCGTCCCTCTGGCTCAGCGTGCCTCCCCCGATTGACTAGTTGTCTCCCCATTTTTTTCCTGTCCCTAACCGCCCCTCTCATCCTGCCCTCCTTTCAGATACATCCGTTGGACCGAGGAGAACTACCCGGCTCTCGGCGCCTCTGCCGATCTGGGTGACCTGCTTTTTCGGTGTGTTCGCGATACCAGCCACCTGGAGGGTGTGTTCATGAACCCCGTTTACGTCGATGTCTGGCTGAAACTGGTAGGTTTGGCTGGTTTAGTCGAAATCCTCCCTCCCCCACTACCTTCATATCCCTCCCTGTCTGCCTGTTGTTCCTTCTGTTCTTCTCCGAATGTACCATTTTCCTCCCACACAAAAAGTCTACAGCTCGTAGACTGAATATATCGCAGGGGGTTAAGTAAGTTAAACCGTGCAACTGCGATCTTCAGACCATGGTCACTTAGTGCAGATGAGAAGTCCGTAAAGGCCAGAGTAGATGGAAGAATGTATTGTGTACACAACGGAGAGGAGAGTAGATTAGAGTAGATTGACTCTTGAGAGACACGTCCGATCAGTAGGTTGACCGGGCCCAAGTGAGGTCTAAAAGTAGTCGAGCCAGAAGACAGAGAGAGGGAGAGCTTTCATTGGCTAGGGGGCCTGGAGATTTTGGGCAGAGAAGCAACTTGCGTCAGGCACGCGTGCAAGCTCCCCATTCGTCGCCTCATAGATGCGGGAACTATGATTGGCTGATCGAAACCTCGAGAAACCGCATCGGTAAGCCTTTGAGGAAGTGCACTTCGACGCGAGCTAGTCAGCCAGGCGCGACCCGCTACAAATACCCTAAACGCGGGGTAACGGTAGGGCGTGCTTAAAATTATTCACGAAGTAAAAAAAAAAAGGTTTTAAAACCCCAGAGGAAAACCGCTCGCTTTGTTTTCTTCGGAAATGCATACAACACCGGCATCCGGGTCTACCTCAGATGTATTCTGATATTTACAGTAAAAAAGGATGAAAAATCGATTCTCACGTCGTAAATCAGAAGAAAGTGGAGCGTTCACCATGACAGGGATTTATTGTAAGTCTGATGTTTCTTTAGTTGTCGCGTCTACCCATCTTCAGAGGATGAACGCTCTGGCTCATAGTTCTCGTATTTATGCCACTCTTTTGTGTTCTGTTAATCCCGGCACGAAATCCGGCCTGGTTGGGTCACGTCCTGGAGTCGCGCACAGACTGGAACCGCCTGAGGAAAACAATAGCGAAACTCTTCGCAGCAATGTCGATGAGGCTTATGCCGCGATAGTTCTCACATTTTGTCTTGTATTCT